ATTGTTTATTTGATTGAAAATGAACTTAAATTTGTATACAGGCTGCTTTTGTAATTACTAGCCAGAACTTTTTCGTAAATAATTGTTTTCTTTGGAAGTAACTACACAAGTCTCTCTCACAAGTAAATTCTCGATCATACCATTAGTAGGCTCAGGTCGAAACACTCCTTTTCTTTCCTACTGCCCCGTCACAGCAGCGAGATTCCATTCCGAATTATCCAAGTTGCAATAATATAATGGTCGATCCCCCAGCAATTTCGAAGTCCGACAGAGGCTTTCTGGTGGCAAGGGATGTTTCGCCACGGCGAGGAAAAGTCATCGAGCAAACGAAGGGGCAAATGCAACCAACGAGTGCGCGCCTCTGTCCTGTAGTAAATATTTAGATAGGTCTGAGCACGCAGAAGACGGGGCAAAAGGGTACAACGGGCACTAAATTGTGAATTTCCTCGGCTGGCCACATGCGTGCCAAGAGGTTATCGTTCCGGGAGCTTACTCGGCCCCATTAAAAATGCAACAACGAACCGTGCCGCACAGTCTTCCACGTTCTATCTGCGTTACTGGAAAAAACTCGCCCTAAACTATAACGATCTATCTTTTCGTGTCCAGAAATTACAGGATTCTTCGAAGCCCTTAGCTCTAAAGTCTCGATAAGATTTTCCTCTCAAGATGCATTCTGGAGTTGACGGTTCAGGCGTAAATAGGATCTTTTAAGTTCTCCAGGGACCTTGCTTGACAGGTTAAAAAAATCCGGGTTGTATTTGTTTTGAAATCAAAATGGAACGGTACAGAGAACGCAAACTTCTGTTTCCTTAATACAGGGTATTAGAGGGAACTTCGAAATGGAATTATTGCGGAGAGCAATTTGAACGCTCGCTGTCACGATAGATTGAACTTTGAATGTTTGTCCCGAGTTAGGATATTAACGGCACACTCTCGTCCGTGGGAAGCAAAGGGATGTCCGGATAATCCTCGACTCTGGCTTCGAGCGTGACTTCCGGGACGCATTTGCAGCCGGGTCTTTGTATCGCGGCATTAGGACGGAGCTTACGAGTTTAATGACGGGTCTTAAACAGTCCCTTTGGAAGCTCGATGGCCGAAATTTCATTGTTCGCCCGACGTTTCGGATTTGGGTGTGCCGACTATACGGCAGCTGCGAGGCGTCCCGGTCCACGGAACTTCTCGTCTCCTTCGATCTGTCGTCTTGCTAATGAACGACACCGTGACTTCGTTAATACCGTTAGTTATAGGGCTAATCCAATTGACATGTAGAAATTAGATTTCGCCGGATGTTGGCCTTCGGGGAGTGCGTCGTACCCGCAGAAGTTTCGCTCGAAATCTACCGGCGAGTCGCTCCGGTCCGATTCGTTTAACTTTCGCGACGAAACTCGGCTTTCTATTGGTCGACGGGGATTAGTCGACTGTCAGTTATTCAATAGACGGACCGAACGTCGGAGTAAACTGCCACGAAAATGTACCAAAGTTCGTCGAATGGAAACGACTGTGTTCGGATTAGGTTACGACGGGACAAACTTTGTCGCGTCTCCGTAGTGAAAGAACAGTAGCTTCTAAGTTTCGGCATAATTTAAACTCTCGAATCTACGCGCGTTTCCATAAACTGGATGTCTGTCGCGATACGCGGTACGTCGTCTCAAATAAACATTCATTTCTTCAGCGCGATAAGACGCAGCGACAGTCTCTTTGAAAAAATAGAATTCAACCAGACAACATTAAATCAACAATCGTGGATGAATGTAATTTAAAATTGTAGCGTGTACCTTCCAAAAATATTGAGGTTTGACGATTTTCCGTGCACCTCGCAATTATCGTTGGAGCCATCGATGCTTACGTACGAAAAAGTCGTTCTGTCCGTGGCCCGCATAAAGTCCAATCGTACCAATCGAGCCACTGCGCAACTAATGCCGCTGGGCATTTCCGAACCAAACTGTTTCCACGAACCCACAGCGATCCCGATTCAGAATCAACATCGTTCGAGTTCGGAACCGACTTAGAATCTCGACTTACGCGAACCAGAAACGCGTTACAGGTTCGCTAGCACGCGTGCAACGTATGCATGACCGAGTTAACCGCGTGCGAGTCGAGGTTTCATTTTAGTTCGGTTGACTGGGAGCAAATTTCCCGGAATGGCGGGCATAATTTCCATTGTTTTGAAATTTGGCGTATGCGTTCTGCTCGATTAACGTAGGTTGCCTCGTATTTTTGCTCTTATCTCGACAACCGTCGGTGCTATCGAAATTATGGTAATAACATAATGTGAAGGTTATTAAGTTTCGGAGAGAAAAGGTGAAGTATATTTTCTCTCCATTCGTGATAGTTTTGTTGTAATTAATCGACAAACATTGAAGAAATTTGATCAAGTTAAATTGGGTATTCTTTGGATCGGTGTATTTATGCTTTTATCTCGGCAAGTATCGATGATATTGACATTATGGTAGTAACATAATGTGAAGGTTATTAAATTTTGAAGAGAAAAGGTGCAGTACATTTTCTCTCTATTCATGATAGTTTCGTTGTAATTCAACAAATATTGAAGAAATTTGGTTAGATTGGGCATTTTTTGGGTCGGTGCATTTTCATTTTTATCTCGACAAGTATCGGTACTATTGAAATTATGGTAATAACTTAATGTGAAGCATATTACATTCTAGACAAAAAAGGTGGATTGGGATTTCTTTCTATTTATGATAGTTTGGCCGTAATTCGACAGCGAATATCGAAGAGTCTAGGCAGCTAAGAAGGATCAGAAGTCTCGCATCGTAGGAAGGGCTCGAAATAAACGGATATAGTCGCAAGAATGGTGGTGGTTCGCAGATACTGAGAACTGGCAAGAACCCGCGGGTTAAGTGAAAACGTTACTCAGAACGAAAAGAAACGAGCATCGAGCAAGAGAGAGAGAGAGAGAGAAGAGCTATAATTATACGGGTGCGATAGGACTGCTCCCAGCCGCGAGAAATGTGCAAACAATCGAGGGAATCGATAGCTCGGACACGGCATCCCTTTCCATTGCCCTTTATCTCGTTTCTGTGGGTTCCTTCTATTCCGAAATCAGCTCGCAACGACCTAGAAAATAACGTACAAGGCGAGGTCGACGGCTTTCTATCCCCCAGCGAAAATGGGATCCTTTAAAGATAACGCGATTCGGTTCGCTCCTTATCGAACGACAATTTCGGAAACTGGGAATTAGAAACAAGATACCGAGAAATACTCTTCCTTTTGCAATAGTCGTGGTAAATATTCTCGAACGTTTACGTTTCCCAAAAATGGTTTACGTCAATTTAGAATCCGACCACAAAGTGAATCTTATCGGTGAAACAATGAATTCGACTCGCAGTAAGGTCCAAAACACCTCGAACGAGTCCTAGTCGATTTCGACCGTAAACCCATCCAGAATGGATGATCTAGATCACCGACCGGCAGTTCGTTCGAGGATTGTTCTATCCGAAATCGTGATACCGTAATCCACGTCGGCGAGCCGTAGCTTATCCCTGCGAGGAGAATCTACCGCGTAGAGATACGCGTCTACTGGTTCCGGAGAAAACCCGGAGGTAGAATCGAGATTCCACGTAGCAGGTACCAGGAAGTAACGAGGTTATCGATGGTCGTCGGTTCGAACGGCGGTTCACGTCGCGGGGTAAAATCTTCGCGAATTCGCGTCGACTCGCACACGCGTAATATCGTACGTGTGGGGAAAACGGAACGAAACGACGACGTCGCGCTGGGCCACGAAAGGAGAAGAAACTCCGTCACGAGCCGGGGATCCAGTTTCCATGGATATTGGTTATCGATCGTGTCAGCCTGCTACCTTGATCATCTTCGGGGGGCGAGAGAAGGTGGTTACGTATCGCGGCACTCTCCTCCCTCTTACCAGCCACAGTCCTCTATGAAGTCATAAAGTTTCGACCGGGGAAAAAGAAACTTTATGCATGGTATTATAATACGTTTGTCATATTTCGCGGGGGTCGAATTTGCTCTACCGCTTTATTGCATCCATTCCGGAATCACTGCGCGTGCCGTCGTTGCGATATTACTGTTTCAGCGTATTATGCTTAAAATTTGCGCTGGACGAACATTATTGGCGACTGGGATAGCGATTCTCGGACGGCGTTGTGGAATATTCCGATTATTCGTTCGACTGTGAATGAGGAATAGGTCTTCGTGTGGGGTAACATTTGTAGTTTCTTCAGGGAGAGATTAACACTTAAGTGGGCTCTCAATTTCAACTGAATCATTTTACTTAATGTTGATTTTTACCAAATTGGTAAATGAAAATCAACTTTCCTTTAAAGCATCCAAAAAATAATTAACTAATAGAGGATTACGTAAATTAAGGCGGATTTATTACGTAAATTAATATTTATTAAATTAAGGGTTAAGACTACTTGTCGAGATGTGGGTTAGGACTAGGATAGAACACCTTTTGACTGAATTAGAATTGTGAAACGAATTATAGAATATTAAGACTGACCAATATCATCAGTTGTGGATAAGAAATATCTGGGTAACCTTTAGTATAATTGTTTCAAAGACCAGAATATTAAGACTGCTTGACAGGATGTGGGTGAGGACTAGGATAGAACACCTTCTGAGTGAATGATAATTGTAAAACAAATTGTAGAATATTAAGACTCATCAGTATCATCAGCTGCGATAGCTCCTGATCTGGGTAGGTTTTAGTATAATCGGTTTCAGAGACCAGAATATTAAGACTGTTTGTCAGGATGCGGTGTAGGACTAGGATAGAACATCTTTTGACTGAATTAGAATTGTAAAACAAATTGTAGAATATTAAGACTGACCAATATCATCAGCTGTGGATGAGGAATAGCTCCTTATCTGGGTAGGTTTCAGTATAATTGTTTCAGAGACCAAAATATTAAGACTACTTGACAAGATATGGATTATTACTTAAATAAAACACCATCTGGATGAAATATAATTGTGAAAAGAATTAACTTTTAAATTTTTCTTAAATTTCGTTACAGGGATCAAGGATCAAAATCGACGTCGTGGCGATTACACACGGAGGTTCCTACTCCAGCATCCATAACGTAAGCCCCCCCTATTAAATATTAATTATTTATCTTTAAAACCACTCGGTAAAAAGCTTGCACCAGTCGTCGACTCCTCCCTGCAACCTTTTTCGTCGCGAGTTTTTGCGAGCACTTGGTAGCTGAATCTTTTCTTCGGTGTAATCTACATGTCTCGGGCTAAATTACTCGAATAAATTGCGGGGTTAACTGTCTGGTACGTTGTTTATCTCCGTCCCTACCCTTGCCACGGCAACCCCATGGCCGCACACGCTCCGCACGATGGCGGGGGAACCTTTTAACCGCAACATTATCGTTTCTGGATGGCGTACATCCACTGTATCATTGTACGCCTAGCGGCGATCGTGTTAGAACACGCGCACGTGCACCGAATTCCCGTCGAAGACGTATCACCTTAAGGCGTGTACCTTCGTGTTTTCTAACAGCGTTTCGGTTCGAACGATTCTCGCGACGACGGAGTTCACGAGGTTCGGGGTAACTTCTGCGTGGATTGTCTACCCTTGACCCAAATACGCGCCAAAATCGATTCGCGGACCATCTCCTTGCTCGCCACCTTTTCCAAAGGGATTACAACGGCTTGGAGGTTTCGAAGAAGTTTTCATAAATTCGTGAGTCCAAGTCTCAACACACACTTTGTTTTATTTATTCGTACACGGAATAATTGATGAACAAAACTGGAGAAGAAATTTACAATAGTAGAGATGACGAATAAGTTTTGAATTTTACGTTTAAAGCTACGAAAATTGAAGGAAATTAATGACCTATCGATACAAATATTAATTGTAATTGGAACCTTCTTTGTTATTCTCTGTAATCATTCCTTTTTGTTTTAAACACTCGTGGATGGTCTCTCTCGCCGGGACGTTCGAACGATAAACACGTCGATAAACTTTGACTTCTGCGGGACGGGCGTTCTATCAAAAACACGGATTTCTTTGTAATTATGTCAACTCGAATGGCAATATAAATTGCTAACAAATAATATTTACGATTCTCGTAATCGCGAACATGCGGCGTAAATCTGATCTAAAGACTATCGTAGATCTCGAATATTGACTTCGTCCACAATTTGACGCCAAAAGTTTTTGTAACTTCGAATAACCTCGATAATTTACGAGAATGGCGACCTTGACATAAATTTTGTATCGTCTGGCATTATCGAATACCGAACTGTGGACGGTTAAGGCTGTCGTCGAATTTTCGTTTCTTCGCGTTTTATCTATCCCGTCGTCGACGGTCCATTGAAAACTCGAGGACACGGTGTTTACGAGGCTCTGGCCGGGAAGTTGCTCTGCAAATTTGTCAGCCCATCCCTCCCCAACGGGGAGTTAATCTAACTTCCTTCGAGTATTTCGTGTCTGGCACGCGTAATTAAATTTCGAAGCAACGTAAGCGAGCAATTGCTGCGTCGTCGGCGTGTTTTCGACGCGGACCGAGGCTTTGGGTCATCGTGCAATTATCTGCTCTCCCCGGTGATACCGTCCTCGTTCCGATACTTCTCAATTTAGGATCGTTACGAGTCGTTACAAGAAGTTTCTTTGAAGGAGTTTCCAAAGAACACCCGAGTCCACTGGATCAATGTCACTTTCCAGTGTCCCAACTACATCGTCCCGCAAGTCTAAGATCTCCCACGGTTACCACGTTCCTTAAGGATCGATCATCCTCACGACGACCTTTGGGAACCGCGGAATCCTTCGTCTTCTTCTCATTATGGATCTGTCGTCTTTGGAGTTGCCAACTTCTTCTGGTCTGGCTAAGTTTCTTTTTGGTGCTCTTTTATAGAAACAATGACAGATATCAACACACTACGTTTGTTAGAATTTTATTTAAAGCACGGTTTCTTGCTGATAGTCCACTTTTTGCTATGGGGAATGGTTCATTTCTATTTGCCCCATTCAATTGCTCAGTGTCTTATGTTAGGTAAGCTTTTTTCAAGTAAGGACTAATTCCTCCAGTTCTAACATGTTAGCATTTATCACTCTGTATGATAATTCAATTGTTATAGAGCTAGATAAATCCTGCAAATTTTGAAGCAATTCCTCCAGTTCTAATATACTATCATCCATCGATGTGTACGATATTCCAATTGTTATAGAACTGGATAAATCTTGAAAATTTTGTTGAACTATAGGCCAACTCCTCCAGTTTTTCTATCATCCATTGCTATTCCAATTCCTCTACAAATAGATAAATTGTAATCTATAAACGTGCCCTCCCCAGTTTCAAATAATTCCGTCCAATCTATGCTAGTATTTAAGCAGAAGCAATTTTCCAGTAATCAAAATTGCTCCGAAAGTGGGGTTGCATTTCAGCCAAGGTATTCGGTTCCATTGGAAGCATAAATTCGGTAGATTAGGCGTCCTTCGTGAACCGGTGGATAATGCAACGTGCATTCTCGCAGAGCTTCCCGGCCACTCATATCTTAGTAAACGACGAAACAGTCACTTGTCAACGACACGTTATATACGTGTTTGCTTTAACGACCGAAATAACGTGGAAGCTCGGCCATTTACGTCTCCGGCGTGTAAATTAACGTCGCGCTGGCAGACAGCGTGAATGACTGACCAGCTGCTCGACTTTTCATGGTTCGCGCCGCATACAGAATGTTCCAGTAACAGGTGGGCACCGACGTTCGGAGGATTCTGCGTCTGAAACGGGCAACAAAAATTTTGTTCCATCTGTTCCCCCTTTGAGGGAAAAAGAACGATCCCGAACAGTTGGGTGGCGTGGACGTCGGGAGGGCCAAATCCACTCGTGTTAAATAATATCCTTCGCCCCTCGGCTCAGAATCAGGATTTTGGAATCAGGATCCTCAGAGGTGAATTTTAATAAGAATTCGTACAGTTCTGACTCGTATTAAATTCTGTAACAGATCGAAAGTCGGGTTCCATGCATTATGTAACCGGAAATGCTGTCTTGTAACAGTAGATACGTCGAATTAGCGTCTCCTGGGGCCGAAGTCGACAAGGTTATATTTTAAGATCCCGGTAGACGCACCCCCGAAGTTGTATAATATTGACTGAGTCGTAAATAATGTTCACCTTAAGTAACGTGTTGCCGTGGCTTCTCGAAATATACAAACTCCACGGTTGTTTTGATCGTGATTTTCAGCAAAACATTTTGTTTTGAGCGACGAGAAATGGTTTATTTCGAGCTATTAGGGAAACAGGAATAATTGGATCTAGGGAAACTTGTTGACATTGGTTTGTCTGAGAAAATTGATTTGTTTCTAATTGATTCTGAATATTGATTATTTTCGGTGTTGTTGAGCGAATAGGGGAACGAATTGGGACGACAAGAAGGGTGACGGACGAGATCGAAGTCGCCTAAATTGGCAGTTGACTGGTCGACGACGTGCGTTAGATAGAACACACCGCCAAAATGTCTGCGCTACGCGAACTGTCAAGGGGGCTGTTGCACGCTACGCAGATTGCCAGTTACGCAACCGTCGCATAGTCACCGAGATCATCACCTGGCCAGTCAGTCATTCATGCAGCGTGCGAATGAGCGCCTTCGTCGTCGGGCCTGGCGTCGACCGTCCACGTTATTTTCGTCATGGTACACTATTTCCGTTGGGGTAGCACCTAATTGAGTCTACGGGTTGTGATGATCTTATATCGGAATTTGGGTCGACTCTCGAAACGAAAAACAACTTTTCGTGGGTCCTTCTGTCCGAGTCTTCGAATAGAATCTAAACTTATAGTTATATTTACGGTGGATGTAAGGAAACAACATGGCGTTATATTCGTGTCAGAGATTCGTGGCAAAATTTTATTACAAAAATTGTCATTCAGTGATCCAGACATCAATATTTGTTTGTAGATTGTGGCTAAATCCTTCGAGCAACTCCTGCCGATTGTCTTCCAGGTACTCCCTAAACCAGTATAAGGCAGGCTGATAGAGTTAATATTCTGGCTCAGATACGAGTTAAATTCTACAAAGCTACTCATTGGGACATGTAATTTTGTATATTATTCATTTTGAGAACCTTAGGAAATTTCACAAGAGCTGTTAGCACAGTTTCAAGCAATTTATTATTAATTTTGGGAACCATAGCAAATTTCAACGATGTCCCAAGCATAGTTAGCACAGTTTTAAGCTACAAGCTCATAGCATAGAGGGCATTTATCGTACAGAAGATACGAATTCACCCAGTTAGGTCTGGATTAGGTCTTGATTATTAATTTTGAGAGCCCTAGCAAATTTCAGAGGCATTCCAAGAACAGTTATCACAGGTTCAAGCTATAAGCTCATAGCATAGTGGGCATTTATTATACAGAAGACACGAATTTACCCAGTTAGGTCTGAATTAGATCTTAATTATTAATTGTGAGAATCGTAACAAATTTCAGCGGTATCCCAAGCACAGTTATCACACTTTCAAGCTATACTCTCCCAACGTAGTGAGCATGTATCGTACAGAAGACACGATTTCCTTCACTTAAGTCTTAATTATTGATTTTGAGAACCCTAACAAATTTCAACGGTGTCCCAAGCCCAGTTGGCAGAATTTTGAGTAACGAGGCTCCAGTGTAGTGGGCGCTTAGCGCGCAGAAGAGACGAATTCGCCTTGTTGGAGGTGTAATCAGCTCGATGCCCGTCCGTAGCGGTTAGTATAGCAACAGTCGGAAGGAGCCGGTTCGATTAAGAGCGGCCGATCGAACCTTGGCGTGCGTCATCGAGCTGCGGAGCCCGTGCCAGCTAGAGCAAGAAGAACAGGGAGAGGAGACGCGTTTACGCGCGAACTAAACGCAGTCTGGCTGTGCATGTCGGTGTCGTTGGTCGGTGTTAGTTGGCCAGATTCGTAGGTAGGTTGTCTGGCCGATGGCCTTTCGACCCGAGCGCAGTTTTGCTTGCGAGGAGCGGCTGGTTCGTTGCTCGGTGTGCTAGTGTCAGCCGGAGTGTGACAAGCGTTTAGGATCCGTCGCCCATTTGAAAGACGTTCAACGATGGATGCGACAGGGAACGTTCGTCCAGCGACGAGACTCCGGGATTTCGTC